TTTTGGACGTGGTTGCGGTTAAATTCCGTAAATCTCATTTGCATTTTTAGGTCATCGGCTTCAGGGCTTCGTACATAATGACAGCCGCCTTATCCATGATAGTTGCAGTAGTGATTGCGTTCGTTTTCGGCTGGAAGCTGGCGTTTGTGATCTCGGCACTTATGCCAGTCATGATCATAGCAACTTTTTTGGACTGCAGGCAGCGAATGACCCGTCAATTTCGGGATGCTCAGCTGCTCGAAGAAGCGGGAAGAGTAGGTTCCTCATCGATACTCAATGCCTGAAGCCACTTGGTTGCGTCGATGCTAAATTAATGATGTAGATTTTGAACGAATGCACGGAAAACATAAGAACGGTCAAATCGCTATGTCAAGAGCAACATTTTTATGATCAGTTCAAGCAGTGTCTGTTGGTTCCTTACAGGTAACTTGCACAACTTCATTTCTTACTGTACTCCTTGAATTTTTTTATTTTACCTAGTGAATCATTCATTTCTTTCCCTTCTCTCTTTACAACTCCATTTTCGAAATCATTATCATCATCTTCCTCACCTCGTCTTTTTTTCATTTTCTTCTTTTTCATCTTTCTTTTTCATTACCGTCTTCCTTTGTTTCTGTATACCTCGTGGCAAAATTCCATGTAACGTTTGACCAGCCCGTTTAACAACAGCAGTATTTGATTTATGACGGCGGCATATTGTTTCCCGAAATTTCTACGCCATGACGACACGACCGGTCTTACCAAAGAAGATTATGTGGTCTATCGACACCGCTAGCGACATGGTGGAACTTCGTTCCGCAACAAATCCTCTACTGCTGTGATCTGAGCCAGTTTGCTCCCTGATGTAAAACCTCTAAATGACTAGCTTGATGTTACTTTAAGCTTGAAACACATTCGCGACCCGAAAGGAGAAGCGGCGATGGAAGATGAAGATGAAGACACATTCGCATTTCCCATAATCACTGCGAGCCCATTGTTTGCTAAATCTTTTACATCAGTAAATGATTCCTAGGGAAGGTACGATGATCAGTGCATTTTAGGGAATCGCTCAGGCAAGGACAAATATACGCCGGTAGCTACTCGATTTCTCAGAGCTTTATTTTCCTAATCTATGCAGCTGCCTTTCGATACGGCGGATACCTGGTCAGTGTCGGTGAAATGGACCCGCTGCAGGTATA